AACTATTATATGCATAATGTTAGCACGGCTTACGTTTTTACTTATTCGCTCGTTTGTATCCGAAACTGTAAGACTGAAATGGTTGTTAAGAAAGTGGCATAAAAAATTTTGCATAACAAAATCCAATTGTTCGTTTTTTTAATATAGCATATAGCTGTCATACAAACTGAACGCTCAAAATATTGTTCTTGTATGAAAACTTTTTTAATTTGCCGAAATAAACGTTTCTTATGCATGCATATAAAATTTTAAATCCAAAATATATGTATAGTATATMAACACAAACAAAACTTTTTTAAACACCTACATACATACCTATGTATGTACATACATAGCGTTTACAGCATAGTTGGCCTTCAAAAATAATTATGCTCTAAAAATAATACAGAATATGCTGAACTGACGCATTATTAGATTTTTAGTTGTATACTCTTTTGCATATTTTCCATTTCTCCCCACAGCTTTGTTATATCATTAGCAAGATTTGTAGTTTTGTCGAAACATGGACAGCCTCTAAACCATTTCAACACATGTTTTTAAGGTTTCTATCAACTATTTGCTTTGCTTTACGGTTCCTTTAACTAATTTAGCTATTTTTAAGAACATGTACATATGTAAACAAAAAAAATTATATAATATCATATGTTATAAAATCAAGCTATTAACTTTAAATGAGCCATATGTGTAATTGTTAAACGCGTTTTGTAGATATTTACTTTTTAAAGTAGCATAAGAACAACAAATGTAGATTTTATTAAATTAAGGCCAACATAAACAAATAACTATATATACATACCTAAATATACTTGTATATACATGTACCATAAAGTTCTAAATAAAATGTATTTTTTGAAATATACACATTTTAGTTTTGTTGTTATTCTCCCAGCAGAAAAGTAATTTAAAGTTATGCTGACGCTTTGCTACTACTTGATCGGCAAAAATCCGAGTCATTTCCGGTGACGTAGACTTTTTGCGGATTCTTTCTATTTTTAGCCGAGTTCACTTGCACTTACACGCTTAACTATTGTTATATAAAACAAAACATAACATTTTCTTTGGAGAAAAGAAAAACATCTTTTTAGTTTTGAATATTTCACTATATTTTATCGGACAACGTTAGCAACGCTGTTTAGCGGGGATTACAAAACACATGGATAAAACGATACATATTTTACACTTTTCACTTAATGCTGCTAAACTTGTGTTACAATAATCGTTAGTAAATTGAACATAACATTTTCCACTTAGCATAAGTTTTTTTTTCGCTGCGCGCACACAATTAGAATTTTAGCTTAAATACATTAGACAAGATTAAATACAAATTAGATGTTTGAAAATATGAAACAAGTAGTTAAAAAGAAATACAGAATGTTTGTTGCAGTTAATTAAATGTTTTTAAATAGAAATGCAAAGTTTCTAGCGGTCTATTTACATTAGCCMCTGGAATGCCAGAATTATGTTGCTGTAAATGCTTTAAAATTTAAACTATAGTAAGTTAGCGTATTTGCTATTCCATTGTGTTTCAACACTTATCACCTTAAACACTAAGTTTTTAGCAATTGTATGCATTTTAGTCGCGTATCGTCTTATTTCTTTCGCTTCCCCCTATAAATGCGCCGATACGTATGTCCGTGCCAATGTGTATGTATATTCACTGTATTCACTCGTACTGTTGTGGTAAACTAGCTATACTGTTTTTGCAACTTAACTACTGTAACTGTGACGACTTAATGCCGTGTCTCACTTTAATATCGCTGGCTGAACTTATTTAATTTAGATACGTATTGTAGTTTACTGATGAGTTCGGTTTAAAACTAAAATTGATTTAAGCTTCGACCTTAGCCTTGAGCGAAGCTGGCATCTCTGGTGGTGGTGGACGTGGCAGAGCCAAGGCAACCTTGACACCGTCGTAGATGAACCATTGCAGGGCAGTGAGTGTACCGATCATAATGATACGTGGCATCAGACCGTTCCACATACCCATGAAWCCGAGCGATTTAGCCACTTGGATGGCAGTGGAGCCCTTGGCTTGATTCAATTTCGAAACGACCACATCAGCGGGATGCGATACAATGGCACAGAAGACACCAGCAATGTAACCAGCAGCGAATGTCACCACCAATTGTTCACCCTTGGTGCATTCGACACGTGGCTTGGGTACAACGTGTCTAATTGGGAGGAAAAGTTAACGAATTTAGCATAACTAGTAWTAAAAGGTAGTATGGAAGTAGCGTTACTTACTTGTACAACAATTCCACTGTGCGTTCGAAGCAAGCGAATTTCATCATGGTGTATGGAATTTGACGCATCCACAATGGTACCAGACCCTTGTAGAATGCACCGACACCCTCTTCCTTGATCATCTTAGGCAAAGCCTGACGGAGATTGTTGGCAAAGCCAGGTGTGGTCTGGATCTTAACCTTGGCAGCTTCCATAGGAGCCAAAGCAATATCAGCGAAGAATTCAGCCGATGCAGAGGCAGCCAAGTACAACCATGTACGGTACAAGTATGAATTCTCTTCACCCAAGATGTTGGAGTAGTACACTTTGAAGACTTCATATAAACCGAACTTGCACAGACCCTACATGTTGTATGAGTAAACAAGCATAAAGAATATATAAATAAAAATAAGCAGAAATATTCTATTGATAATAATATTTCTATTCTAGCAAATATATGGTTCTTAAGGTATTTCRCACTAATTTTTTACGGTATGCTATRGTCTGTGATTTTTTAATTTAATTTATAGGGTTTTACTAAAACTTATGAACTACTTCTATCTACATATATTTGTACAACTTTAAGTAGCCGCTTTATTTACAAGAACATAAATCTTATCACATGATGACAAATAGTAAATAAATGACGTTGAGTGGTAATGCTGATATGAGTTTACACTCAAACTTTGGTTAARTACACAAAATGCAAACCGAAACAAAATCAGACGTAATAAGCAAACTAATTAATCATACAATTTTCGTCATGTGGCAGTAATATATAGGATATTGATATAAAATATATCGATCGATTTCGATGATGAAATGAAATCAATGAAATAAATAAAATCAGAAATTTTAGCATTAAAAATCAATAAGCCTTTAACGACAGGGGATTGTGTAACCTCGATACACTATTGAGTATTTTCTCATTTCTTATTATTTGACGTMSTCCACAAAKGTACATCGATTGGTTTCTTCACAAAACTCGCTTGACTGCACTTATTTTCGCAATTCCTATGTCCCGTTTCATTAAGATCTTTTAACTTATTTGTTTGCACACATATGTATATATTGGGTGCAAGTACAGATTTCACTTCGCCCACTCACTCACCTGTGCCGAGTAGCCGAAGAATGTTGGTGCCCAGCCCTTAACCAGACCACGTGCGCCTTCCTCAGCAATGGTAACCTTGAAGCCGTTGAACAAATTCTTGTACTTTTTGGGGTCAACTTGCAGRCGGCATTTGACCAAATCCAACGGTACGACGAAGGTGTGCGTAGTACCGCAGGACAGAATGCCGCCGACACCGCATAGCGCAAAGTATTTGTTGCTGCCGAATTCGCATGAATCACCGCTAGCTGCGGCAGCTGCCTGAATCTGGCGTCCGGGCACTGGGCCAGTCGCCGACTTACCGGTGGCGTCGCATTGGACYTTAGTAAATGGAGTGCGCAATGGCGAGTTTTTGGCAGCTTCAAACAGTGATGAGAACATTTCGGAATATGTTACTTTTCGCTGTTTCGGTTAACGCTTTTGCAAACTGTAAAAGAGTTAAAAAGAAAATGATTATATAGAATAAACTCAGAGCAA